GTGTTCAGCGACTAAAGAGCAACCGAGGAAGTCGCTCCCTATAACTTACGCAGTAAGCGTCAGTCCCGAACTGGCCACAAAAGACGTAGTCGGTCAACCTGCCAGGATCACAATATTTGTATTTCTTGTTGGCCAAAGCAACTGTTACTAACCTCGACAGAAGCCGTCTTTCTCTCCTCAGAGATGCAGTCTACTGGAGCGTATACTGAAACAAACAAAGACCCTTTGTCACTTTGAGGGCCATTGATCTTGGTTGAACCATCCAGCTTAACAGCGAAAAGACAACGGTTTACGGGAATCCAGTCCAGTAAAATGCATTCAGACTTGTGTATAAGCACGACTTCCACGGCGTAGATACCAGCAGACACTCGCCAGGATCACCAGACGCCAGAAAATTGCGAGACAACTGGGTTTTCCTCGAGTGGTCTGAGGTGTATGACCGAACTGTGGTTTTTTGTGCATTGTGGAGAAGTAATACACATTCATCAAAAGAGCGAAAGGGCTCTGAGCAATAGCGATCAGCAGTCTAATTAGCTGCAGATTTCGGACGTGAAATCTGCAATGTGGGACAGATCCCTTGAATTTAACAAATGTTCAGCTCGTCTAAACGCAACACACTACTCAGAGGGTTGCTGCTTTCTCTCTGACAGCTCATGGCCGCATTCGTCCTTCTTGCTACTCACCAAGTAGGCGCAGTCTCCAAGTTTCCTCAACCTTATGCAGCTCATGGCCGCATTCGTCCTTCTTGCTACTCACCAAGTAGGCGCAGTCTCCAAGTTTCCTTCAACCTTATGTTTTACTTGAAACCATATTGTTTACTCCCGGAAAACCTCAGTAGATACCTAGAATAATCCGGAAAATGGACACGGATACCTTGTCAATTCATCCTTTTTCGACGAAAGAGAAGCACAAGGGTGCATTGTTTTTATCAAGACCTTACAAAAATTAGAGAAACCTGAATGAACTAAACAAGGCCGTTCGGACACTGTCCGTCAAATTCCGCCACCCTTTTAAAAAGGAGAGTGAGTTATTAAATGAAAGCTGTTCTTACAACCCCATATCACGGGACACTCGGCGGAAGAACCAAAACGTTCCCAAGTATGAGACGTCTCTTTTCTATTGGTTACTTTATTTTACGTCTCACTATCGAATGTCAACAAAGGTATCCATCGTAATTTCGAGTGACATAATAAGGTGCAGTAGTATTATAACAATTCATTGCTCCATTTCCTACAATAGAGCGAATAAGTTTGCTTCATTCACTTATGCCTGTTTTTTACGCTTTGGCTGCTTTATTCTTCATATCAGGCAATATTTCTGTCACGTATTCATATTGTATTGCATTACTTCATCTGCCCCTCAACACAAATTTGGTGCACAGACGTCCAAACAATTGGCCCAGTTCCGTTAGTATCACATAAGTCACCGGTCAAGGGCTGCAGATAAATCAATTCAGTTCAGTTCATCAGCTATAAACCGTGGGCAGCTAAATAAACGAAAGTATTGATTTACACTAACTTATTTTCTCGATGAATACTCATTAGCCCTACTGGAAAACCACTGACGATACCGGTTGCAACACGCTACCAGTCTCACGATTAAGTCAGTGGTTGGTGTGGCAGTGACATACCTCACTGATGTCATTTCACCTCAGACCAAGTTGGAGAGAGCTCTATCAACCAAAAGAAAAGTTTTCTGTCCAAAATAATGCACATGAGTAAGGAAAGCATATGAAAGAAAGAAAGAAAGAGTTCGGATGTAGCACCCTTCCGGTGCCTAGCTGCCATGCCTTCCGAAGGAAGCACGAGGGATGGGATACTGCCAGGTTGCCCAAGCCTAGACAGGGGAAGTCGAGTGGCGGAGGTCGGACTCGAACCACGGACCTTCCGGTCAGTAAATTCACGCTCTAACCACTTGGGCCGTCTCGCCTCCAAGCATATGAAAACTTTAGGTAAAATGTAAAATATGAAATATAGATTATCAAGATAAAAGCCGTGGTCTTAGATTACTTAATAAAAAGGTACTATCACCAAGTTACCTGGATGAGTAAGAAGTAACCGACTTGCGGAATGTTGTATTACGATCGAGGGACAACTTGAATTACAACCGAATTTAGAAACTAATATGTCATTAGATAACAAGAGTGGAGTCAGTCTTTAGCATTAGGCGGGATTCTCAAAGAAACACCGCTGCACTTTTGACCATAAAGTTCACAGGTATACCCTTGGGAGTTCCACGTCTATCATAGACCGTGAAATGAGGCAAAACTATTTCCCACCCATTCATGGGATTGCGACACGGGAACGGTAAATTCACTGTTGCAGGACACACGAAGTGACAAAAAATGAAGTCCATGATATTCGAGAAATACACTCATTTGCAAATAAATTTGGTTTTCACGAGAGACTCAACTGAATGTCTCGTTTATGATATTCTACGACTGAATGTGCTGCACACAGGCCGCCTCATGTTTCAGTTGGCACGATATTCTGGAAGTCGTAGAATATTTTCCTAAGGGAAACTACTCAGAAGGTCTGTCGAAGAGTTTTCAACAACCTTGTGAGTAGCTTCCTTCATGAAGTTCATGATAATTTCAGCACCCTGAGATTCAGAAACTAAAGTGCCTATCTCTGAATGGTGGTGAAAGTGGATTCACCGTCAGAGGACCACCTGAGATAAGGTGAGATGGCCCACGTTCCCCACGGCGGAAGGTTTCGGAATATAAGGAGGAAAGGTGTCCACTGTAAAGATAGCTATGCTTTCTTTTAACGAGAAAGAATCCTAGTTCCTGACAATTCAGGACATAAAGTGACAAAGGACATTCCTGAGACTATTCCACGACTACTTTAAATCCAGCCTGTAGATTCATTTTAGACCCCGGAGTTCCGCACACAAAGCCGAGTAACATATCGCTAGTACAGTTGTACCTGATGAAAAACCATAGATTTGTGTGCTATTAACACAAAAAATGAAAACGGATAGATGTGGAAATGTGGTCCCTATCACTTGGAAATTGGGTCCCGACCAACCTATTCACTACCACTTTTATCTCGTCATCATCATCATCATCATCATCATCACCATTATCCTCATCATCATCATCAACAACAACATCATCATCATCATCGACAGCATAACATCAGTGTTCAACACCGATGATTCACTGCCGTACAACCATGATTTATTTGAAAGCCTTATTGTAAAGAAAAGAGTAAAGGTGGACTGGGAAGGGACTTAGTGCTAGCATACCTCAATCATTCCGAGGTGCCTACACCACCAGACATTCACTCAAGTAATCTGGATAGAAACTGACAACAAGAACGCCACTGACATCGGTCTTGTAGTGTCCCAAATCAGGCACAGTAAGGATCACGCGGTCCCCAGCCTGGAATGCGAATAGCACCGACAGCGCCCAAGCGCCTTGTGATTTCTTTCACACTCCTCTGCCAGGTCATGGATTGGCCACCTCTCTGTTTACGCCACTCTGAGTTGGGTATGGAAAACAGCACTCTCTTCGGCAAACGATAGTTCGGCATACGTAACACATTTTCCAACCAACGCAGCTTCTGGTGCTGGACACATTCTTCGATGGAAGTACCCGTTACACCACCAACAACGCGCTTTCTAACCGCCTCACTACTTTCATAAAGAATTTCTGTACTTGCTGCCAGACTAGTTGTAAAATCGGGAAATGCGACTCATTGCCTTGTTATTGAAGCCAAGTGGAGATGACAGTTAAGCGGTAGCATCCAAATTCAAACGATTCCTTTGGTGGATAAACAAACGAGTCATCAGGCAACAGGCTGGTCGATCTCCCGCTTTCAGCTTTAAGAATGCAGTTTTGTGAGCTCTGGATAAAGACTTTGATGGAACGCTATCGCCATTCTTTCCACTCTTCAACAGTGTACATCTTTCCAGCAATGTGACACTGGTTGAACAATGCAGTTGCCGTTCTGTTAGTATTAGCGAACAGTTGAGCTAACGTGGGTTTAATGGGCCGATTTTACAAAGCGTCACTCGCAAGAGAGAAACAAGTGGTGGTGTATCAGTTACCTGTGACTAAGCGGTGAGATGGTTCAGGTGACTGTCGGAGAGGCAAGCACCACTGCCATACACCAGCTTCAAGACGGCATTTTTTGTTGCCTAGTAGCATTTGAACGTATAGTTCACCCATTAGGTGGACGTTTCTTGTTGTCTAACTTCTTTTCTGGTTATCTTTTTCTTGCATCTTTCGGATTCGTCACGATAAACTGTGACCAAAATCTATAAACTGCGACTACAAAAGTGCACATTACAAACCCAACACACGCACATTATTGCACATAAACGCACACGTTGTATTTCGCTTCGGCTGATGTCTGTCGAATCAAAAGGCCTCAAGGTGACTACCCGACAACACCGACTTGATATACAATGTATCTGTTTACAGTACAGGTGGTGTTCGGCCGGTGGTGTCTCTTCGAAGTATATTAAGGGACGAGATGTCTCAGTGGTTAGAGCGCAAATTTACTGCCCAGAAGGTCGGTAGTTCGAACCCAACCTCTGACTCTCGACTTCCCTTGTCTAGGCTTGGACAACTTGGCAGTATCCAAGCTTTGGTACTTCCTTCGTGTGGCATGGCAGCTAGGCACCGAAAGGGTGCACAGCTGAGCAATTTTGATTCTTTTAATATGACGCCAGCTAGCTGACACCCACAGCTCATTGACCCATATCTCTGCCAAAGTCCAGGCTAATTACAGCGGTAAGGGTTTTACTGTTCTCTTGTTAATTGCCAAACAAAAATATGATGAGGGCTGAGCTAATCAGTTATCTTCCCAGATTTTATCCGTGAACATCGCGATTCAATTATGAAAACTGGTTGGGCTCATCTATGTGTCAGACAGCAAACTTAACGAAGTCCGAAGAGCTTGGATTCTGTCTGTATCTAATTATCCAAAATTATTTGAAAAATGTTCAAAATTCCAATCTCATTGACATCAGTCAAATTATCAACTGCGTACCGATAACTCTTCCGTCGTTCATTCGCACCAGCACCACTGGTATCCACAGTTGTGGCATTCATCGGATTCCCAGCTGCCAAGTAGCCCCGCATCTCCTCTTGTAACTTGTATTGCTGCACGCGTGCGATTCCCATCACGGCCGACAGGTAGTGAAAACGTGACTCCTCGATCTTTCCTGCTTCACGCGCTGCGCGAACATCCTGTTCCAATCGAACGGTTTGAGTCTCACGGCCAGCAGCGAGTGCATCGTAGGCTGCTTTTTTCTCCTGGTGCACTTGACTTAGCTCCTAAAAGAGTGCATTAATAAGCGGTTGGTCAAGCTGGTTTAACGGAGTGGGGATTAAACCGTCCGAACAGACAAGTTTAGTGTTGCGAAATTATTGATATATTGATGCACTCGCACTTACAATGTGGAAACATCATTGTTTTTCGGGCGGACCAAAGCATAGTTAGAAAGCTGTAAGAATGGCGAAACGACTTCCTTGAGCCATTCTTCGATGTGTAATATTCATGCGTTCCACCATAAAATACTGGTAACCCTCACCCTGAGGCTTTCAGTAGCAAACCCAGTCAGCCTCTCATGGATCAGGTGGAGACGGATTCAGTTTGTATATGGCTTGCTTCCGTCGACTGAATATCGTTTCGGGAGTATAATATAAAAAATCCGGAATAGAAATGCAATATTATTGATTATTCCAGCCATTGAGAGGAGGCATAATGTTATGAGCCTACAAAGGCAGATTTTCAGTCAGTCTTTCATGTTGTCATCAACTGCTTAAAATGGAGCATTCACAGGTATGCACCGCAAAACAGCTATACGACGCCAATCTGCTAGGCATTGATAATGCCACTCCTGTCTAATGGAGAAACGTTTGCAACCAAATTGCCAATTTCAGTGAACAGAACGACAGCCAAACCTTAGTGCGAGTTTGAGCAGCATTGTGATTGCTGTTGTTAGACAATCTGACCTAACTAGTGTTCAGCAATGAAGCTTGGTGTAAGACCATAATCAAACAAGGGTATCTTTATGGATGAAATATACTACTCATAAACGAGAGATTTAGCTGAGTTCCAGGCAATTCTCCCATCAAAACCAAATTGCTATGCAGGTGAGCATATAAGCCAAAATAGGGTGTATTTTTTCCTAATCACTATAGGGTCATACATGAAATTAATGACATACTGAATGAATACGTTACCAATATTAGGTTACGCAAGAGTTCTTCAGTGTGGCGAACCACTCTTTAGGTCCAGAAAAGCGCATTTACTTAAAGGTATCATCTGAACCTAGATAAGTGAGTCTTGAAACCACCATGTGTTTTTTGTTTTAAAACCACGATTTGTACCTGAAGTTGACCAAGAACTTATGCATTCGCCACCTTTCGTTGGTTCGCTTTCCTAATGCATAAAAAGTGTTACGTCCTTCTGGACAGAAGTCAATATTAATGTAATGGTGAGATTATCCTGCCCTCTTTTGATGGGCTGTACAAATGCAGTGGACTGCGTTTAATTTTCTTGTTTTTGAATTGTTTCGAATGTGCAGAACTCGGTCCTCTTTACGTAGTGAGGTAACAGAAGAAACCGTAATGCTATTGTATGCTGGCCTTTTCGCTCATACCTGATGGTTCTTCTCTTTTATGCTAGAGAATCTTGCTAATTCAGAGCAGTCTCACTGCGAGACTTTGGGTAACTTTCCTACCTTCATGATGACTGTTAACAGGAGCTTTTTATATGGGCTCAAGCAAAAAAATCGAGGATTTCGAAAACCGCTTCATTCTTGGCGTTCTTCCCTAGATAATGGATGGAATGAAGGAATGAATGATTCCCAATGAGGATGAATCATCCTTATTGGGAATAATGAGCAGTGCGCATCTCAAGAAACTCCGCAGAGTCTCGAACCCGCGACTTCCTGGCTAGTAGTTTGAACACTTAACCGTTCGGCCACGAGTGGCTGATCAGCAGTGTGAGTAACTCGCACTCAGGTAGGATATGGCGCTGTTCATCCTTCAATCACGGGATCCACATCAGGCGGCCGAACGGTTAAGTGTTCAGCCTACTAGCCGGGAGGTCGCAAGTTCGAGACTCTTCGGAGTTTTGTGAGATGTGCACTGCTGATGATTTCCACTGAGGATGAAACAAGTGCACAGAGCTTCTCGGCTTTTCAGCATAGATTGGCTTCACTTACATGACGAAATCACTCTTTAAATCTACCGTCTGCCTTAGTGCGATAAAGTATACTGCATGTATCGATCGGCATGACTGCCGAAGCACTATGCCGTACAACATAACTCTATGGCCTATTTGTTCTGTATACCAACGCTCTGGTGTGTCAGTAGAAAGTGTGACATTTCGACATTCACAAAGATACACAAAGTGAAAATCAGTTTTGAACTTTTAGTTGCGCTGACGTGTCGCTGTTTAGAATGGTGTAAATAAGCCTTGCGATTGTGGTCAACAAACAATAAAACCAGAGATTGTCCGTTTGCTGGTTAGGCTAAATATTTCAAAAGGAAAGAGAACCTAAGACGCACCTCTGAAAGGTGGATTATTCTATGACTCTAGCTATAGTGTGGCCATTTTTAATCATTTTACCATTAAGTGTTCCAAGCTGTTAACACTATGCTCACTGGAACATTTGCAATCCTATTCTTACCAAAGTGGACTTCAAACGCAAGTGCCCACCAAGCGACAAAAAACAGAATGTGAAAGATGGCGAAATTCGCTCGTTTGCATGCAAATTTGGTTTTCACGAGAGACCCAACTCAATCTGCCGTTTACGATGTCCTTCTTCAACTGAATGTGCTTCACCAGGCCGCGTCATGTTTCAGTTGGCACAACACGCCACAATTACAGTGCGTTGTACGGAGGTAACACACTGCCTATGAGGTTGCTGAAAACTCTTCGACAACCCACGGCAGGTTTCGCCCTTGTTGAAGCTCATCAGATAGGCTTAGTCCCCTATTTTTCGTCAAGCTTATGTTCTGTTTGGACCCAAATTGTACAAAATTAGTGAAATACACTCACTTTGCATACCCCATTTGGTAGAAATAGACCAGTTTTGTCAGAAATGTGAACTTTGTCAAATGATGTTGTATCTCTTCATCCTGCCCGCGTCGCCAAAGGACGTCAGAAATGCAGCACCGCATAGTTTACAGCTAAGACCCAATCGAAAACGGAAACGACTAAACTGGCTCCAAGTTAACCCGAAGAAGAAGAAAAGAAAATACGACCAGGTTCACACAGCCCGAAAACAGTTGCAAATTGAAAGGGGAGGTAATATGGCTGCGCATCAACCTACTGCGCAGCGGAACAATCATGTGAAACAGAGCCGTGCGATTATGCCCCACGTCTGAATCACGTCAGATTTCATCATGTGCCAGAGAAAGGTCAAAAAGGGACACAGAAAGTTCACGCCAACTCCATAGCCAAGCGCACAGACGGTCATCTATGATCAACGGAGACAAAGGAACAACCGCCCGAGAACCGGTGTGGGCGTGCAGGAGACACTGGTTGGTTGACAGTGAATCGACCATCAAATACGGTGACAAGTGAATCATATATTCAAGAGGTTGTAATTGCCTTAAGACAGTTCCTTCTGGTCGTTTTCTTGCCCAGTAGCGTCAGGGCAGGTGAAGAGATACAACAACGAGGAACCCGACTGAATTTCTCGTTTACAAAGTTAAAGAACATCATAAACGAGAGATTCAGCTGGGTAGTAGTCTCTAAGATTTAGCTACTTGGCAGTATCTCAGCCCTCACGCCCCTCTGTGGAGGCATGGCAACTAGGAACGGAGTGCTACAGGTGAGCGGTTATTATAGTATTATTACTAGATGAAGTAACCTCATTACCTTTGTACTGAAGAAACGGCTCGAGGTAGTCATCCCGTAGTTGAAAGCAGTTCATATCGATTGTTCAACCTGGGAAACGATTGTACGATTATTCCTCTGACACTACCAAATCTCAAGGTCATGCGTCAAGCAGCGTGCGACAGCGCAATTGAGAGTTACGAAGACGGGTACGACGCACAAACAGAAACCTAGAACACACCACGAAATGCGGGAATAAAGACTAGTAATTCCAATGCTTTATGCAGGGAAATTTTTCTTCTTGGATCGATAATATGTCAGTGATATTTTTAACCCATCGAACCATTTAGTCAATCGTACAATACAGGATGTTTTTTTCCTTAAAATACTGGTAACTGATCTTCACTGTATATAGGATCCATGCGTATCCATAATGTGACTTAGTCCTTTCGTTTAAATGTTTGGTTTTGAATTTATCTTGAGAGGAATTTCCAGTCCAGTAGTACTCCATATTAGATGTAGTATTTTTCATAGACAAATTATATTGTTCTAAAATTACCTGTCAGCTACCATACCAACAGAGCATCGTATTCATAACGGAGCCACCCAGCCTTCCCACCTCAGAGGTAGACGAAAGCAACGAAGTCGTTTGAAGCTACATGTGGCGAGATTCCAGGTTGGGTATGTGCAAAATGTGATATCAAACAAAATACTGAGCTGATACGAATGAAGTCGGGGGAAACGACAGTGTACATGATAAGACGAAGCGTTCTAACAAAACAGGACGACATACTGTCTAAACGCAACGCACCACCCATCAGATTGCTGAAAATTCTCTGGCAGCCCACTACGGGTTTTGCTCTTCTTGGGGCTCATCAGGTTCATCATCAGGGGTTCATCTCCAGGTTTCTTCAACCTCATGTTCCACCAGAGCCCTAATTGGACAGATTTCAGTAAATACACTCATCTGCGTACGAATTCGGTTTTGATGGGAAATTCAGCTGAATCTCTCGCGGGATCTCAAAGTGTTTTCAGGAACCTTATGAGTAATGTGTTGCGTTCAGGTGATTTAATGCAAGATCTCAAATGTCATGCCAAATGAAACCCGGTACAACCTGATGCCTCATATTCTGTTAAAGCGGATTATCAAAAAGGAGAGATTAGCTGGATTTAGGTAACTCTTCTGTCAAAACCAAGTACCTGTGTAACTGGGAGAATCCGTCGATGAACTTGGGGGACGTAGCGATAACATGCAGTTCAGTCTCAGCCGGTTCGAAAACCGTGACAAACAGTCAGGATCTATCAGGAAGGTCAGATTCCTGAATGTAACCTCAGAACGCCCGAAACCTACTGTTCCACCAAAATCTCAACAAGGAAGCCGGCCAGTCAATCATCCAATCAATTTAGCGAAAGTTGATGAGTGTTCATGCACACCACAGAAGCACGACCGAATGTGATCAGCATTCAGGCATTTCATAGAGGCACGATCGATGTTGATGGGTGTTCATTAACGCCTATCAAACAGACTGGATCAAAGTCAGAAAGTCCCCCTTAAACAGCGTGGGGCCTTTTAACTTTTGCTCTCGCACTCACACGCACTCACGCTCTCGCACGCGCTTGTTCGGAATATAGCTGTTGTGTTCCCTTCTTTGAGTCACGTTTTCCGGCAACTAAGCACAGGAGCGGGTCAGCAGCAGATACCACAGATTGACGAATTAGCAGACATAACAGGACCTATCATCGCCATCATCATAATCGACAGCACGACATCGGTGTTCAACACTCATGCTTCGCGGCCATACATCCCTGATGGCCGGAAAGAATGAAATTGTGCGGGGAAAGGACTCGGTGCTGGCCTCTCACAATCATTCTGAAGTGCAAATGCCTGAAGACACTCATTCAGGTAATTTGGATAGAAACTGACAACAACAACAACAACAACAACAACGCCATTCACATAGGTTAGCAACCACATCTCCGACCAGGCGCAATGAGGATAACGTGGTCCCTATCCTGGAAGGCGGCAGCACCCAAACGTTTCGTAATCTCTTTCATACCCCTCTGCCAAGTCAAGGGTTGGCCACCTCTCTGCTTTTTGACAAAATTAACGGTTGAGATCTGTGCTCTATTCTAGCTGGCATAGGTTCTCCAGTTTCTTCTGTGGGTCTCGGCATTAGGAATTTCGGCTTGCTCTGCTTTGCGCCGACCTTCATGGTGAAAGAGTTTCGGATGCTCCAAATTAACTTCCTAGAATCACATGATACCCACCAAAGAGCCAGCCCCAGCCCCAAATAATCCACATTTGTATCAAATGCTGATGGTGGGGATCATTAACTACTCAACTCTGCTTCATGAAACCCAGTCTGAATTCTGGACGTACACATATCAATTGCTACGTTACCTGACCGTTTTAGGTTAACGCAAGATGCGCACACGTCGCGTAGTCACTGGGGATCTCACGGTTTCCAAAAAAATCAACATACCAAAGTCTTTTCCAGTACATCTTCCAGGTGGCCAACTTTCTGAAGTTGGTCAGCATCTGAGGGATATCTTCAAAGTCACACAACGCCCAAACGCATGGGTTAGAAATTAAATAGCTGGCTTTATTCAGGCTTTAGATTCCTGATAAAACTGGGTCTTTTCTGGAGGTATATAGACAGACTGTTTCTCGTCAGGACCACAACGCAGTTCAGTGTTTAAAAAAAGGTCAAGTAAAATTAAACGTATGTGCAAATTCGGTAACTTTGTGGGCCCGGAGGTCCAAAGAAATGAAAAACGTCAAAAATACTGAAAATGTTGATAGTCTTTCTCATTTTATTTGTAAAGCGGCTCCTGCACATTATCTTACCATCCAAACTATCAAGGATCCAAACAACTCGTTCAGATCCAATAGGGAAAACTACTGTAGCGAATGCATCTCCCAGGCCACTCTTCACCTACCTTCCAGACTGCCAGTCTGTGGAAGAAAGGCGGACTCTGGGTGTAGAATCTAAACGTAAATATATCCATCTACTCAAGTGTCAGTGAAGTCCTAGTCTCGAAGGCACAACTCAGCTTTCAGTTCAAAGACGGCAGCTTAATCCTCACTGAGGGCCCGCTTGCTTGCGAACGTCTATTTTCGGTGTATCCATCGGACCAGCAAAATGGGTTGAATTAATAATAGTTTTAACCGGTAGGTGTGATATATCATCATCATCATCATCATCATCATCATCAAAAGCATGATATCAGGGTTCAACACTAATGCTTCACTGCCGTACAACCATGATTTATTTGAAAGCCTTATTGTAAAGAAAACAGTAAAGGTGGACGGGGAAGGGACTTAGTGCTAGCATACCTCAATCATTCCGAGGTGCCTACACCACCAGACATTCACTCAAGTAATCTGGATAGAAACTGACAACAAGAACGCCACTGACATCGGTCTTGTAGTGTCCCAAATCAGGCACAGTAAGGATCACGCGGTCCCCAGCCTGGAATGCGAATAGCACCGACAGCGCCCAAGCGCCTTGTGATTTCTTTCACACTCCTCTGCCAGGTCATGGATTGGCCACCTCTCTGTTTACGCCACTCTGAGTTGGGTATGGAAAACAGCACTCTCTTCGGCAAACGACAGTTCGGCATACGTAACACATGTTCCAACCAACGCAGCTTCTGGTGCTGGACACATTCTTCGATGGAAGTACCCGTTACACCACCAACAACGCGCTTTCTAATTGCCTCGTTGCGGATTCGCCGACACCAATCCACATGAGGTATGGTTCTGAGACAATGATTGTCGAACACCTGAAGACTTCTCAGTTCCGCTGCTCAAATAGGCCAAGTCTGACAGCCATACAACAAAACAGCCCGTACTGTAGGTTGGTACACACGTCCCTTGAGATTCCTGGATAAACCATTCTGACGCCATAAGTGTCTCTCATAGCAAACGCGGCCTGAGTCTTGCAGATTCGTGTATTCGCCTCATCTGTCACACTGGAATCAGAACTTAGTTAACTTCCAAGATACGCATAACGCTCCACAACTTCCAGTATCCCGCCCTGGATTGCAAGTGGTGTGTTCAGTGACTGCACGTCCACGAGCATGACTTTACACTTTGTAGGTGCAAAGTGCATACCAAAGGATACCAAAGGATGACTGTGGTCAGTTCATCCAAAAAACACATGAGAACGATGTCGTCTTCATATTCCAGATCGACATGGTTTTCTTCACAGGCTATTTTAACACCAGGGTTTTGGAATCCCTCCAGCGTTCGTCTCATTATTTCATAAGTGTGGTACACAAATACGCCAGTCTACTGACTAACGAAGTGACAAAAATGTTGGCTTCATTTTGTCACCGTCCTCTTACACCGGCATTTGGAGCCTCGACCGATTGTAAACTGGCAAGGAAACTGCTTTCTGACAGCAGCCTCCAACGACATTTCGGTGCTCCGCATCTCACTTGTCATATACCGAATAAGCCGGTAACCTGGTATTGATTGACCAACTTGTTACTACGCCCGCGGGACCATCGTTAGTCCTAATTGAACTATGTGCATGTACGAAACGGAGTTGGTCTGTAAGAGTTACGCATACCGTGTGTAAAATTTGCAAGGTGTTTCATAAAGGTTAATGATAAAGCATAAATAAAAATATAGTCATCCAGTGATTGGTGGAATAGCTGATGGACTAAGTAAAGTATGAATGTACGCGTTATCATTTAAAATATTGTGGCCTTGGAGATTTGGTGAATTCTGAATTTCCAGACTGTTGATGATGAATGATATGGTGGTCAAGAAAATACCCCATCTTTCTGTCTTTCTGTGAGGACTATCAAGCTTCATTGTCCTAAATGAAGTGAGAGGAACTGATAAAATGCTGAGCTACCTGGGCTTTCTGTCTCAGTGGTCTGAGTTCCCGAAGAATTGGAGCCAGCTGAGAACGTTTGGCGTTGATTCGGTTAGTCAGCTGTTGAACTATTTGGGACATTTCTTCCAGTGTGACTCCTTTTTGTTCGTTCAGCGCGCTCATTTGTTCAGAGACCTGTTCATTAAAAAGGTAATCGTTAAGGATGCTACTTTGATAGGTGGATGAATTAGTAGATCGATACTACGATTGTCCTTTTAAAGACATAAGGTCAGAAAATCGCCACCTTGCTTGTTTTCTACCCTGAGGGTTCATCTCCGACCCATACATGCCTAGTCCGAACACTGATTGTCCGAACATGACAGCTAGCACCTCTTCCCGCTGGACGCTTCGAACGAAAAACCATAGGTGGGGGTGCACAAACATCGAACCCGTGCTTGTACTAGTGATGCCTTATGTTGCTTTTGACTCTTCATTTAATCCTTCCCCGGGATATTCACCCTCAAGCAAAAGGCTCAGTAGGCTTCCGCAATACTTCGCTTCTAGATAGGAATTAGTTGAGCAAAAGAATCTCTGCGAACCAGTTGACAATCTGGTATTCGAATGTGATGGTTTGATTAAAATAGTATATGGAATGTGACCGAGTCTTTTAGGAAGAGACAAATGTCTATTCCGGAATGTGTTTTGATATTACTGACTCAATGTTCCGACAAGACAAGGGGGTTACCGAAGAACGCGAAACGTCAGGAAGGTCAGATTCCCGAAAGCAACTTCAGAACGCCCGAAACCTACTGTTCCAACAAAATCTCAACAGGAAAGCTGGCAAGCATCCAGGCCAGTCAATCATTTAATCAATTCAGCAAAAGCGGATGAGTGTTCATGCACGCCACAGAAGCACGACCGAACGTGATCTGCGTTCAGGCATTTCATAGGGGCACGATCGATGTTGATGGGTGTTCACTAACGCCTATCAGACCGCCTGGATCAATGTCAGAAAGTCCCCTTCAAATAGCGTGGGGCCTTTTAACTTTTGCTCTCGCACTCGCACGCACTCACGCTCTCGCACGCGCTTGTTCGGAATATAGCTATTGTGTTCCCTTCTGTGAGTTTTTTTCTCCGGCATTAGGCACAGAAGCGCGTCAGCAGCAGATACCACAGATTGACGAATCAGCAGATATAACACGAAAAGATCTGGAACATTTTCTTGCTGGCAATAAAGCGGCTCTCTCAGTCAGACTATTCCTAAAGGTGTTTCGGAACAATTGGATTTGGATTGCTACTTACCTTTTCCAGACTGTTCTGGGTTTCCCAGTATCCACTGATTCCTTGAGAAGCTTCGGTAGCTGCAAGAACCCGTTTGGCCTCAGCTTCTTCGGCACGCAGTCTCTCCACAGTTCGTGTAAGAATACTCCGTTCCGCACGAAGTTCACTCAACTGAGAACGTTTCTGTTTGTACACAGTATTCTTGCTTCGGAGTTTTGCCACGTATCGTTGAAACTTGAAACAAATGCATATCCGAGAAAGTGCTTATACAAAAACTGATTTACGGCTATAGCTCATGTGAAATAAACTTGCCGCTAATATAAATCAACTACTAATCTCATCAGGATAACGATGACGAAAAAGATGATGATAACGTAGCCGACAGCAAGTAAAAGGAACCAGGAAACTTAGAAGAACTTACTGGCACCTTTAAAAAACTAAACCGATAAGCAAAAATCGTAGAAGTTATACGAAGGTGTATTCGGTAGTGGGGTTTTCAAGAAAAACAAGTAAACTACTCGTAGGGTTTATTATAGGTCGGACATCACTTGCCACGTGGACTCGACCAAGTGTGTGAGGGAATTAAGGAACTGTCGAACTGTGCAAAAATGGATCTCCGTAATGTGCTAGGGCTGACTGCGATACGGTACTTGACCGCCTTGAGGAACCAGTTCGAACCAGTTATCACTTGAGCTTAGACAGCAATATTACAGTAATTAGAACAGTTGTACTGCCATTATTACTCTGTAGAAAAAAAACTTGGACATTGTGCAGCGGAAATAATCGGATGCTCGACCAACTCCAGTCTTTAAAGAGTTTTTCGAGTGCACGAAATGCTTCCCGAAAACAGGAGTTCTCCAGACAGCTAAACTCACAGAAAATCAGTTCATTCTGATTTAAAATCAGTTTCGCCGAATAGGTCATCTGAACTGAATAGGTGAATCTCACATTCCGAACCAGCTGAAGAACGGAGTTTAAAGTCGGATGCTTCCGGCACTCCGCCATCGGGATTAGCTTGAGTTACGTTTGGAAAAAATTCGCTCCCGCTCCAGTTGATGGGAACACCGGGGACCCAATAGAGTAGCTTGGGGGATGGCCATCTGTGAAGATGTAGGACGGTTTTGAGTTTTTAAGGTTCTAAGTGAAGGTGAACTCTGCTATCCTATATGTCATGCCACGACACCCATCGAACTTACGCTGACCTAGTCCATGGCTTGGCGGGGAAGCACTAAAGACCTTACTCGTCAACTGAGTCGCGTCCGTAACTGCCGTCTCCGCAGATAGGGACCACATGGCAAGACAGATTTGGCTGCATCACGTAGCCAAAGTCATCGTCAAAGTTATCGTCCTCAATGATTGGTTCGGACTCTGCCACACTGGACAGACAGAATCATTCGATGTCAGTGAGTTGATTGGGACATCACCTAACCCACATCTCCCATTTCCCCATTCTCTTTATCCTCAGTGAACAAAGCTTTGGAAGCTGGAAACACTGAACTTCGTTGCATGGTTTGTGAGCCGAAGTGCCGAAGTCAACTGAACCCGAATGCTCTTTATCTCACTAAGGTTTTGTTGCCCTTCACCCATCCAAACCTTTGTCTTGGGTTCTGCACTACATACGTAGCCACAAAAGTGACAAGCGGGGCTAAGTAAACGAACGGTGCCAACCTTATATCCAGCAGTCAAACACCGCGATGCGATAACAATTTACAGATCAAAAGAAGCCTCTTCGTATTGTTCACAGTTTACCAGGCAGCTGGTTGTCAGTGTATTCAACGATCTTGGTGCTCTGTTTGTCACTAGAAAAGAAATAATCAATATGGACTGCGTGGGTAATTCCTCTCCTCCTTCTCGTGTATACATAGTCTCCACAGAGTGTCCAGAACGGAATTTCGCTGCACGTATTCGTGGAGAAAGTCAAATTACTGAGGTGGAGGTCATTTGGCGAGCGAAAGTACCTAATCAATGGGCTCCTCATGCTCTCTTGCTCCTTCTGATGCGGAAAATTAGTGTATCTAAACAGGCTCAGTTAAATCTACCTCGAAAATTTGCTCGATATCAGTCTGGAGGAAACTGAAACAGATTTAAGACGCCTTTCCGATGAAAATCTGTGTTCGGAATATGATGAAATTCTCCAAGGATTTCGAGTTACTCAGTTGTGCCGACAGATTTACTCGCGATAGTGAGCGCTTTTTGACTAAAAGATCACAGACAAGCAGTTCGACAGAAGCGGGTTTCTGAACCAGTAAAAATAAAGAGTTGAACGTCACTGCAAAGTAGTTACGAATTGTGCATCCGAAGAGTGTGTACTTCAAACGGGTTCATACTTTTATGGGTAGCAGTGAGCGATCGAGCAACAGGGATTGTTTTGAACGCTAAAGCAAGCCCTTGAAGTTCGGTTCCTGCAGGAGGTTGGAGGCAATAAAGGTTCTTCCGATTCTGTCCCGTCCTTAACCATGTGCACTAGAAGTGCGATGAATGGGTAACGAAGCAGTTGAAGATAGAAAATCCCGAATCCACATGTAATTCGTCAGTTGATGGTCGCCTTTGATACAAGTTGGGCAGTGTTTCAGCAATTAAATGAATACATGATATCTTTGACTGACAATATCCCTGGAAAAGCTAAAGGCCGAATCCGCTACACTCGTTTCCCGCTACTGTGGATTCACCTGAAACCATACTCTATAAATCGTGTGGAATTCATTCGGTGATCGGTTCCTCTGTTCGATAGGTCTCAGCGTTATTTCAAGTCATTTTGAATTGCGCATCTGCCGACCATTCGCTGAATTTTGCTGGCTACACTAACAGATCAGAAGCTTGACAAGTGGAATGTACGTTGCACCAGTATCCACAACACCTATTGTGAACAGCCGGACAGTTCCCTCTGCTCAGTTTCGTCAACGGCTTGTAAAGGTAGCAGGAGCTATTGACCTAAAGGTTTCTTTCGTTTTTGGAAATGGTTCCGGATTGCGCTCCAAGACAGAAACCGTCTTGCATAATTTTTGTAGTGTATGTCCATCTTTTTTTCCACAAATGAAGCAGATTCTTAACGAAGTCGATTGGAGGAAGAAAGAATTATTAACTCAAAACTTCTCAATCCATTGTCAAAAATGCAGGCATGCACAATCTAACTGAACCTGACAATACTACTTCCTCTATAAGAGTAGTTAGAGATCTAGAGAGAATTTTGGAACAGTGCTTTCTCTCAGGACCGGCAGAGATCGCACCCTTTCTAGTATAGCTGTCTTCTGGCACTGATCTTATAACATTCGTCTGTAGTAAGTTCATGACCTGGCAACGAAGAATGACAACCCTCACCAGTCAACTCAGGTGCATTTGTAACTGTCATCTTCCCGACGGCCACTGAGGGATGAGACGAACGAATAATTAGTGACAGACCCGGCTTTACCACAGCCAATGCTGGTATTGCATCAGAGCTGTCACATTCACCTTGCAGCTCTCATCCCACAACATACTGGACAAGAGGGACCATTCGACGTTAATGGACTTATTGAGCCACCACCTCTAACGAGTGAATTGCAATTCCCCCATTCATTCATTGATTCATTCATTCATTCAATCATTCATTCATTCATTCATTCATTCATTCATTCATTCATTCACTCATTCATTCATTCATTCATTCAATTGCAATTCCTTATTCCCCTTTTCTTCAGTGAACGAAGCAGCTGAAACAGTTGCGCCGCAGTGAACGTTTCAGTTAAAAAAACTGAACTGAACTGCTTATCCTGTGTCCATAAAGTAAAAAAGACAGGTTTAAAAGAAAATATAGAAATAAGTTATTCCTTTAATTTACTGGGTTCATCACGTCCAGTGGTGTAAGACAAGACTGTCCTCCTTCCCCCTTATTATTGATATGCTTCTTGAAACCTCAGGAGTCAAAATGCTCCAAGGACGTCCGCTCACATATATTGAGTATGCAGACGACATTGCTCTCCTTGTTTCAGATCCTTCCCAAATGCAAACCATTCTAAATAACCTAAATAACTGCCGCACGGTTTAGCAGGCTCATCACACCCGCAAAGTGCAAAGTGCTTTACAAGACTGGATGGGATCAAGCCCATACCTCATGCTTGCAGGTCAGCCAGTCGACGTGGTAGATAAATTTATTTATCTGTGTCGTTGTATAAGCTCCGGTGGAACGACCGCAGAAAAGATTACTTCTCGAATTGGAGAGGCTAGGGCAGCTTCCGCCGAAATCCGACACCTATGGCGTCGACGTGACGTCAGTTTGTCTCTCAAGGGCAGAGTTTACACTGTGGTAGTGTGATCCATACTGTCTCATGGGTCAGAAACGCGGCCCCTATGTGCAGAGGACATACGGTAGATGTCAGTGTTTGACCATTGGTGTCTCCGAAGCATTGCTCAGGCCTCGTTGGAACATCGGCTTAGCAAGGACGACGTACGCTAGATGGTTTTAGGAAGAAGGAACCCTTCCGCGGTAGATCAATTACTCACGCTTCATAGGTTGCGCTGGTTAGTACATGCCAGAAGATCGTCTGTCTCTTTTCTCCTCTCTCTGTGCTGAGTGGAAACGACCGAGAGGTGGACAGTGTAACGAAGTACGAAAACACCAACCAGTAAACTTAATTGGGTGAGCAACTGCCGCCTTCCTTGATGATGACCTCGGGCCTTAATTCACCAATGGTTAATGACATTGGCGGAAATGGCCCAATCACACAGTCAGTAGCCTCGTGCATCAAAGCAATCGCCATCAATGCGGGGCTACCCACTTTCCAAACAAAGTGAACATGACTTCGCCTTCAAGGCTTGGTTTAGTATTCCACTTTCCCGTTTTCCGGTGATCGAAACTGTAGCAACTGGAACCAGTGTGCCTATGGCACAGAGTTTACAGCTGATAAATTTAATTGGTTGATTTAATTTAGTGGCACCGTAAAAAACAAATAACAGTAAAACAGCGAATAGTAAAACATGCGAATCTGTCCTCAGTTCCTTCGGTAGTGGATTCGAAGTCAGACCCTTACAAATAGGTGAAAACATTTAGAGGAGAACTAGCGGAAAAATCTGAGGTTTTCACCTTATATTACCGCTCCTTTTTTATGGTTTTCATGAAACGGCAATCTTCATATCCTACTTTCGTGAATCGTTTACTTCTTCAGCGATTTCTGTGCAAACTGCTCCGCCATCGAGGACGGTTGCCCCTCAAGATGCAATCTCAAGCAGTAACATCCGTCCGTACTTGAAAGCTCATGGCTTCTAAAGCTAGACGCAAGCTTCGGACAATATGTTCCGAGACTCTGAAGAAATCTTCACTATTCGGAATAGTTTCATACAGTGCTGAGCATGATGGCGTTTACTAGCTGCTTGAACCGTCTAATAACCATAAAAAGTATGCGTGGACTTGGATATTGCATAAAAATCGTACTTATACGTTGCTAAAAAATTATGTGTATGCACAAACGCCCCATACTATCAAACCCATGGGCTGTATGCTTCCTGTTACTAATGGTAGCATCATGGAAGCCACTCTAATTTAAACGCTAACACTCAGTGGATGACAGAGGTCGACGTAACGGCATTCCTACCAGCGGTTTTTAAGTGGTGATCCGTTGCTACTATTCTTCCTGAGTAGCCAAGGTCGTGGTTTTGAAATATCGTACAGTGTAAGCGGAATAACTTTCAACCGCATGGCCGGATTGTTATCGTTCCAGAAGGATACCATTCGTCCCTTCTTGAAATCGCACCACCTACAGAGAAACTCATTTGTGCAACAGCATTGCTTCTGGGTCACTTGTGTCAGACAGTAGAAGTCTCTTGTCGATCCACGGGCTAGTTTTCAAAGATTCTTCAAGTACGGCTAACAGAGATTCGGACGCTCAGTTTCGGACGCCACGATATTTGTGAGACTACATTTCTTTATAGATCCTATATTTTCTCGTGAGAGACACTTAGAGACGGTAGTGCATTTAACGGAACGTGACACAGTAAGTGAACCATCAGGGAAAAATTGAGCAGAATGAGATAACTACACTTTCTGTAAAAATAGATCCACTCCCACATATGACGACCAGATCAGCAGAAATGTTTCCGGCAGATAGGTTTATCCTAACAGCTCTTACCCACATTTGTTCAGGCATTCTCGGGCCACTGGGTTACACACCATCTCGTTATTGGGAAACAAGTACATGGCCACTGTGGGAGTAGATAAGTCTGAACGACAAAGAGAGTGAATACATACCTCGTCGGCTTTGAGCCCCATGGTGCCAGTAGAACGACCTTCACTGGTCCCCTTCGTACCCACATCTCCAGCGGCAACATGGGCATCATCTGATCCACCGTTGGCTTGGAGAAGCTGAGCTTTGGTTTCCCCGATACGGCGTTCAATCACCGCTAAATTGTCTCGAGCCACGGATAGAGCTTCAGCGGCCGCAGCTTTTTTCCGTGACACGATACCTGCTTGCTGTCGGAAGATGGAGATTTTGTCATCCAAAGGCTCACTCGATGCCATTCGTTTTTCAATCAAGCGGTTTGTTTGCGAGTTTGTTTCTCGCAACTTTTACGGGAAGATGAGAAAATATAAATTGAAAAAAAAACAATTAACGATGCACCTTGAAAACCATGATTTTATGAAACTATATTACTTCATTTTCACCTTGGAGCGGGCTCACCTTTTTACACACATCCCATTGGACTGCTCTCCACATACTGAACCAGAAACCGTGTCTACCTATTGAAGACGGGTCGCACGATATTCTGTTTAACGTACTTCAGCAGAACGTGGATGGGATAAAGGTTCAGGGGTATAAGACTTTGTTACTCAAATTGGAAATTAGCTGGACTATCGTATTACCAGGGTTTAGAGAATGCAGGATAAAGATAGAGGAGCTTGTTTGATGGTTGGGTTTACCCTAATCTATTGTAAATCCTTCTGAGAATTACTGTAACCTCAAACGCTCTTTGAAAGAACCTTAGAAAAAAAAGTTTTGATTCCTCATGCATCACTTGATAGTAATTCGACGGTTTTGAGCACTTTAAAATGATTAGGACTCACATCACTCTCAGCTGAACGGTCCGCATCCTGTCCTGGGGATGGCTTTATGGGTGAAGAATCACTGGACTCGAGTACTGCCCATGTTAGGGCTCCTCAGCAATTCATATGTGCTGCCGTGACGGGAGTTGAACCATGCACTTATGATCTGCGTAGCTAGTAAAGTGATGAAGTTGATGGTGTTGTTGTTGAAAATGAGGATGATGATGTTGGTGACCAGTATTCTGGACAACTCTCCAGGTATTTGCGGAAGTCAAACTAGTTTGTAGCTATTCTTTCTAAGCTACTCTGTATTGTGTACAGATGCCGAAGGGCTGAGAGCTTTATGCTTCATTGCGTGACCATGGGATAACTTTTCGTCGTGTATAATAACTGCAAAATTCGCAGGCAGATGAAAAACTATAATGAAACTCCCTATGAAAACTAGCTTTAGTCGGACCCTGACCGGAAAACTGAATAACTGTATGACTAGATGTAATCGTTTCTACTGAGCAAAATCAAAACTTGGATTACTAGACCAATATGAGCGTCAATGTGTTGTGAGACTTAAGGGTCTACTAAAAGCATAGCGGGTACAGTATCGCTCTTTGTGTTCTTTTGCAGGGGTTGCTCAACAGGGTATGCCCGAGAATTTTGTACACAATCCGATCCCTATATTAACGTAATTCTGGGCGGGTGAGAGTGTATGGTGAACTCTCCAAAAGCTTTCCTACAAGGAGAGACAAGGATGTCCACTCTCTCCATTCCTGTTCAGCTTCATTACTGATGAAATGCTGAGGCAAGCACTGGACGATCTTCAAAACCCTGGTGTTCAAATTGTTGCTGGTGAGAGCCTTGTCGATGACATCACCCTCACCTTTGAAGACCATAGCGAAGCACAAATCTTGTTGAATAAACTGACCCCCATCATACCATCTTTTAGCATGCGTCTTGCACCTTCAAAGTGCAAAGTCCTGTTTTAGAATGTGTCAACCGCGAATAGATCCCTTACAATTCAAGGGGAATCACTGGGGATTGTGGAAAACTTTAAGTACCTCTGACGGAAGTGTGTCTGATGAAGTCAGTGCAAGAATCTCAGAGGCTCAAATAACATTTACTAATTTGTGGCGTCAAAAAGGCCTCTCACTGGATCTTAAGGGTCGTGTGTACCAGGCTACAGGAAGGGCTGTGTTGTTGTATGGGTGCGAGGCATGGCCTCTGCGGACAGATGATGTGAGGCGTCTTGAGGTTTTCGACCACCGATGACTCAGGAGCGTGGCTGGTTTTGGATGGTGCAAACGTGCTAGTAACAAGGTGATTAGGTGTGATTGGTTGTGCTGCAGGCACTTCATTTCGAGAAAACACCCAGCATCATCGACTACGATGGGTCGGTCATGTGCTAAGCATGTCGAAACATCAGCTACCGAGACGAGTGTTGTTCTCCGTGCCTCCTTCAGAATGGCGCAAACCGCGAGGTGGACAGCACATGACTCGGTAGAAAGGCGTGAAAGAGACCACGAAGAGTTTGGGTGTGGTTGGTGTTGTACGCCTTCCAGGATGGAGTCCCCGTGACCATGCCTTTGCTTGACTGGAGAAGTTGCAATAAATAAAGGCTGATCGTTCGTGCTGTCATTTTCCTCCCAGCTTATCTGACTGAGTAGTTGGAAGTGTAGGCACAGCGTTACTTATGAGAAGAAGATTATCCACAGAAGAATCTTTGTATTGTATGGCAGTAAAGCATCAGTGCCAACACTGACGTTGATATCTCTGATGATGATGATTATGCAGAACTTGAAACTATATGCTGTTATTAAGAAATGCTGACGATCCTTTCATTACTTATTCACGTTTCCACCTATCGGAGTTATGGCGTACAAAACGGTACAGTTTCCACTTTTTTGCATCACAGGCTATTGAGTCATTGAGCTGAGGAACGTCAACAAAAAAAACCGCAGTGAATTCCCTATTGTCAGATTCTTGAAAACCTTGATTGCGGGGCGAAAAAGTGAACTGTAAACTTAGCAATAACCCGAATCCATTGTGTCCCGATAAGTGGTAATCTTCAAATGAGATTTCGCCCTCCAGTAAAGCAAGTCCATGCTGAAAAACCGAGAAACAGTGCACCGCTGTTTCATCCTTATTGCGAATCTTCAGCAGTGCGCCTCCCACTCACAGAGCTTCGAACCCGCGACCGTCCGGTCAGTGCTTGAACACTTAACCACTTAACTCGGCAGGGCGGTCAAGTGTTCAAACACTGGCGGGAAAGTCTTTGGTCCGAAACTCTCTTAGTTTCGTGAGATGCGCACTGCTAATGATTCCCAATAAGGATGAAACATCTATACAGTGCTTCTAAGCTGATCATTACGAAGTGGCTTTACTGAAAGGAAGAGAGTTCAGTTGAAATTTGTGATTTTTGTGGAGATTTCGTCCTGGAAAGCCGAGACGCATAGATTGGCTTCACTTACAGGACGAAATCTCCACAAAAATCACAAATCTCCTCGCACTAGCTAAGTGGAGGAATAAACTTCACCCGATTAGTGAAACTTCCATCTGAGAAGTCGCCTCTTGAAGCATCGGTGTTGAACACTGATGTCATGCTGCCGATGTTGATGCTTCAGGTTCGTGAGATGCGCACTGCTGATGAATCCCAATAAGGATGAAACAGCTTTACAATTCTTCTCGGCATTTCAGCATAGATTGGCTTCACTTACAGGACGAAACCCCCACAAAGTTTAGTTTAAAATTACCCGAACTTCTCACCATCAATCATTAATAACCGCAAACATTGTGTGGTAAAAATAGAAAGCGCCTGACAATAAGCTGTATGAAGGCCTAACGTCTTTTTGAACAAAAATTAAATATGTTACCGTGTTAACTTTCGGAGATAAGCGACCGATCTTTTTAAAATGACGTTCAAGATAGTTTCAACCGATTTGCTTACATTCGCAGTGCGACCGGCTGCAGAAGGTACTTACTTGTTGATTAAGTTGATCGAGAAATCCCTGTCCCATGGCTGGTTGGGGTACGACCCTATTGAGGTCTTCAATGTGTTTCTTGACAGCTTCGAGCTCTCTAGGTAATTTATCGGACACCATATATTGGTTCACACGGACCTCCTCTTCCAGTTTTTGGAGCAAAACTAATAATATGTTGGAAGAAGCAAGGAAAGCTTATATTTAAATCGGTTTGCTAAGGTTTTGTCAAGGTCACAAGTACCTATGGATTTATAGTGGGAAGCTTTACTCGGAAATGGAGCTGGATAGATTGGAAAACGCTTGAAAAAATAGCAAGGTGACAAACTGACCTGACGTGACAATCTGAGGAATAAAACGAATCAATAAAATTCCGATGGCAGATGTATCAAGTCATCTTTAGAAAACGATGCAAAAATGTAATGCATAAATTTCTATCAACTTTCCTTGGCTTACATTAGGAGAATACATGCAATTTCAAGTTGACTGTCAAGCTCGCCTGATGGAGCGATGAATGCAAAAATATAGGACGTTAAACATTAGAAGTCAAGGAGATTTTCAGTGAGATAGCTTGACGGAAAACGCTAACAACGTGGCTCAAAGTCATTAGAATATTTCCAACCTAGCCTAAATACAAATGTGAAAAACACGCAAAAGTTGTCTTGACTGAAATAACGTGTCCTCTGCGAGTTCGGAGTATCGGAGGCTCCGTTGCTGAAGCTGACGTCACGTGGCACTGTTATATCTGCGTTTGTGTTCATGGGTGCTACTGCACTTTGCTGTAACGCAATGGTCTACTCGTAAGGCCACTGAAAACTCTTCGACAGTCCACGACCGATTCTATCCTTCTTGGAGCTCATCGGGTAGTTGCGGTATCTGAGTTTCCCTCCATCTTATGTTCCACTTGACATCATAAACAAGAGATTCAGCCGGACTGAGTTGAGACTACTATTAAGGCAAATATAGTGTGCAAATGAGTGCATTTTTCGGAACCTGTCCAATGTGGGTTCAGGTAGAACATAATGTTGGGAGAATCTCATGGACTGCAACCACCTGATCTGGCTAAAGAAAGGTGGAACCAGTCGTTGGTTGCAACTGGCTTTTTGTAACCTTGTGAACTGTGCGTTACGTCTAGATAATGCCTTGAGATATTTAGAATTCGTACCAAGTGTAATATGAGGCAGTCTGGTGCAGCGCGTTCGGTTGAAACGGACCACCACAAACGGAAGATTCAGCTGGATATAGCCAAAGTTACAAAACTTCGATGGATCCTAGCTGACGAAGCGTTATGTCCACACATCACCTCAGACCGTATCGGCTGTTGACTGGGAGCACTAGCTCTGGCTCCCTGTTTTCTACTGAGCTGGATAGATAAGGAAAAGTCTGCCGCTTTTCTTCACCGACCTGTCGATTACAGCAAGTAAATGAATGGCTCATGAGTAAAATTTCAGCTTTATTCTCCAAAGCTGTCATCCAATGTAGCAAACATCCATTCCTATCAGAAGGTGCTTATCAGATCCTCCGCAAATGCATCTCTCCAATGTATTGTGCCTAGTATACCTCAGTTTGTGCTCAAAAGTCACTTGTGTTTCCCGATCAGCCGGAACGTATACTGAGTGGAATAAACGCTCTTCATTCCCATCCATGCAGTCTTCAAATCATGTAAATATAATAAAATAAAATAAA